TCCTTTGAAATACAGTCTAACCACCACCATTACTCATATCACAATAAACCTACCAAATAATATATGTATCTTGATACTACAGCTATTGCATGACTAAATATTTACCTCAAAAGCAGGTAGTTCATCAGGTTTGATAGTGTACACTCCACTGCAGGTATGTCCCTGATCATATAGTTCCTTACAATCACGTGCAATACAACCTATTAGTCTGTGAATAGAGTTTCACAATATTTGTTTCTGCCTTACTTGTTTTCATTATGGTTGTCTCTTGACGATCAGATTCATTGGATCTATTATCCTTACAATCGTATGTAATACAACCTATTAATTTAAAAATAGAGTGAATCAATATTAGTCATGTCATACCTGTGTCTTGATGATCAGAATTGTATTGATTGATAGTGATGATGGTTCCAAGAGAAAACCAGATAAGGAACAGTAGACAAAAAATAGTTATCACAATATCCAGTATGAAGAGCACTAAAGCATGTAGTCTTGCAATATTCACCTTTTTATTATTCAGTGCATTATTTAAGTTATGATTATTTAAGTTATGATCATTCAGTCTGTCATTTAAGTTCTCATCATTTAATTCCTCATCCACAGCAGCCATACAGGTCTATATCTATGATCCTCCAATGAAAATGATGACCAAAGGAAAGTTAAAACAGTGAAGCCTCCCTTTTGCAGTAGTTTGAAGGGTGGATCAACTCTTGCTGTAAGATTATATAGCAACCTAAACACACAACTCATGAATACATGCAGAAATTTGAAATATGGTACACCACTACTTTTCTAATGGGCTATCAAGGTATTGTCTGACAATAATAATTAAACAATAAATTAAAATCTGAAAAAATGAGAGTCTTAATAATAATTAGAGTCATTTTCTCCAAATAATGACTCTACTATCCTTGGTTTAAATTAATTTTATTTATCTAATATTACTAATTATCACCATCTAAAAAATAAAATCAAAATCTGGAAAAAGAATACAACAAAGTTTTAATAGTCATTATAACACTAGGAGCTGTTTTACTAATAATAGTCTAGGATGATAAAAACTACTGCTAATAATAGACATCAGACACTTAATTTCTTCTAATCTTCATTTCAGACACCTTCAAAGAATAGTTGTGGCCTCTAAAACCTAACCAGTTCGTTCCATTACTAAGTATGCTATGAGGTCCAGCCAAATATTGACCATTAAGATTTGAATGATGACAATCATTGTACCACCATGCTGCTTTGAAATTATTAGCACAAATGGGCATCATTGTCACAATCATGAGTTGAAAAATTCATATTATTATGAAAAGCTAAGCTGTCTCCAGCATTCCCACTGTATCCTCCTACTGCTAGTGTGTATTTTGTATGTGCATCTCCAACTATAAATGTAGAATAATGAGCAAACACACTGACACCTTCAAAATCCTTTAGGTCAACACGTAGGCTAGTATTGCCTGTTGCTGTGAGTCGGTGTATTTTATCAAGTCCCAGCCAGAACTCTCCATTGAGATCTCCAAATCCTTTTACATATTCTGTCCACTTGCGATAGAAGTCAACAGAACCATCCATTCTCCTTTGAAATACAGTCCAGCCACTACCATTACTCATATCACAATAAACCTGCAATAAATGATGCATGAAAGCTATTGCATGAATTAATTACCTTAAAAGCAGGGAATTCATCAGGTTTGATAGTATACACTCCACTGCAGGTATGTCCCTGATCATACAGTTCCTTACAATCATGTGCAATGTTACTTATGCAGCCTATAGGTATAAATAGGATGATACAATATCAGTTAGTAGCTACCATACCTGTCTCTTGAGTTTGATAAAGAGTGATCAATCCAAGAAAAAAAAAGGAAAGCAAGAGGACACAAAAAGCAATATCCAGTCTCTCAGCCATAGTTGGCAGCTGAACTTAAGTTTAAGTTTGAAAGCTGGCACCTCTTTGCAATAGATTGAAGGGCGGATTTCAACTCTCGCTGTAACACACATAGCAACATAAACACACAATTCATGAATAGAACTGAAAGTGAAATATGATATCATGTAAAGGGCCTGCCTTTTAGGGCGTTGCTACTTTGGCAAATAGATCTAATTGATTTTATTATCATCATTATTGAAAAATAAAATTGAAGTTAAAGTGAGAATGAGAGAGAAGTGAATGAAAAATATTATATATCATTCCTCTCTCCCATTATAACAACAATAGAGATCAAAGGGACAGTTTTACAACAAGAAAACATAACATCATAACTGTATAGCTATAGAATTATTTACTAATAATAGGTAACTATTAAGGAAAACGACAATGCTGTTTTATTTTCTATTAATTTTCATTTCAGACACCTTCAAGGAATAAAAATAACCTTTAAAATGATACCAGTTCACTCCATCAGCATGTGTGCTATGTGCACCAATCAAATACCGACCATTAAGATTTGAAGCATGACCCTGAGTATACCACCATGCTCCTTTGTATGCAAGAGCACAGCTACCATCAGAGATATCATTGTCACAATCATGAGTTGAAAATTTCATATTGTCATGAACAGATAAGCTGTCTCCAGCATTCCCAATGTATCCTCCTACTGTTAGTGTGTAGCTAGTGTGTGCACCGCCAACTGTAAATGTAGAGTAATGAGCAAACACACTGACACCTTCAAAATCTTCCAAGTCAACACGTAGGCTAGTATTGCCTGTTGCTGTGAGTCGGTGTATTTTATTAAGTCCCAGCCAGAACTCTCCATTAAGATCTCCAAATCCTTTTACGTATTCAGTCCAGCTGCGATAAAAGTCAACTACACCATCCATTCTCCTTTGAAATACAGTCCAACCACTACCATTACTCATATCACAATAAACCTACCAAATAATATATGTATCTTGATACTACAGCTATTGCATGACTAAATTAATTACCTCAAAAGCAGGTAGTTTATCAGGTTTGATAGTGTACACTCCACTGCAGGTATGTCCTTGCTCATACAGTTCCTTACAATCATGTGCAATGTTACTTATGCAGCCTATAGGTATAAATAGGATGATACAATATCAGTTAGTAGCTATCATACCTGTCTTTTGAGTTTGATAAATAGTGATTGTTCCAAGAAAAAAACAGAAAAGGAACAGGACACAAAAAGCAATATCCAGTATGAAAAATACTAAAGCATGTATTCTTGCAATATTCAATTTCTTCTGATCATTTAGTTCCTCAGCCATAGCTGACAGTTAAACTATAAGTTTGAAAGCTGGCACCTCTTTGCAATAGATTAAAGGGCGGATTTTGACTCTCGCTGTAACACACATAGCAACATAAACACACAATTGATGAATATAGAACTGAAAGTGAAATATGATATCATGTAAAGGGCCTGCCTTTTAGGGCGTTGCTTGTTTCGCAAATAGATCTAATTGAGTTTATTATTATCATTTATTGAAAAATAAAATTAAAGGTAAAGTGAGAATGAGAGAGAAGTGAATGAAAAATATTTTATATCATTCCTCCCTCTCACTATAACAACAAAAGAGATCAAAGGTCAGTTTTACAACAAGAAAACATAACATCTTAACTGTATAGCTATAGAATTATTTACTAATAATAGGTAACTACTAAGGAAAATGACAATGCTCTTATTTCCTATTAATTTTCATTTCAGACACCTTCAAAGAATAATGAAGGCCTTTAAAATGTGCCCACATCACTCCATCAGCATATGTGCTATGTGTACCAGCCAAATACCAACCATTAAGATTTGAAGCATGACATTTAGAGTACCACCATGCTCCTTTGTATGCAAGAGCACAGTTACCATCATAGATATCATTGTCATGATCATGAGTTGAAAATTTCATATTATTATGATGACCAGATAAGCTGTCCCCAGCATTCCCACTGTATCCTCCTACTGTTAGTGTGTAGCTAGTGTGTGTACCTTCTACTATAAATGTAGAATAATGAGCAAACCTACTGACACCTTCAAAATCCTTTAGGTCAACACGTAGGCTAGTATTGCCTGTTGCTGTGAGTCGGTGTATTTTATCAAGTCCCAGCCAGAACTCTCCATTGAGATCTCCAAATCCTTTTTGGTAGTCGGCCCACTTGAGATAAAAGTTAACCGAGCCATCCATTCTCCTTTGAAATACAGTCCAACCACCACCATTACTCATATCACAATAAACCTACCAAATAATAAATGCATCTTGATACTAGTGTATAAAGCATAAATTAAGCACCTTAAAAGCAGATAGTTCATCAGGTTTGATAGTGTAAACTCCACTACAATTATATCCCTGCTTATAGAGTTCCTTACAATCCTGTGCAAAGCAGCCTATAAATTGTATTTGAATAGATGGTAAACAATATTTCTGATATACTTGTCTCAGCTATGTTTGTGTCTTGACGATCAGATTCAATACAATCACATGCAGTACAGCCTATTAGTCTATGAATAGAGTTTCACAATATTTGTTTCTGCCATACTTGTTTTCACTATGGTTGTCTCGTGATGACCAGAATCATTAGATCTATTATCCTTACAATCATATGCAATACAACCTATGAATTTAAAAATAGAGTGAAGCAATATTAGTCTGTGTCATACCTGTCTCTTGATTATCAGAATTGTATTGATTGATAGTGATGATGGTTCCAACAAAAAACCAGATAAGAAACAGTAGACAAAAAATAGTTATCATGGTATCCAGTATGAAAAGCACTAAGGTATGTAGCCTTGCAATATCCATCCGATCATTTGAGTTCTGATGATTTAAGTTCTGATCATTCAACCTGTTATTCAAGTTCTCATCATTTAAATCCATAGCAGCCATATAGAGGTCTATATTTATTATCCTCCAATGAAAATGGTGGCCAAAGATAATTTAAAATAAGCCTCCCTATTGAAATAGTTTGAATTTTGAAGGGTGGATTTTGACTCTCGCTGTAACATACATAGCAACGTAAACACAATTCATGAATATAGAACTGAAAGTGAAATATGATATCATGTAAAGGGCCTGCCTTTTAGGGCATTGCTTGCTTGGCAAATAGATCTAATTGAGTTTATCATCATCATTATTGAAAAATAAAATTGAAGGTATAAAGTGAGAATGAGAGAGAAGTGAATGAAAAATATTTTAATCATTCCTCCCTCTCACTATAAAAATAAGAGAGATCAAAGGGACAGTTTTACAACAAGAAAATATAACATTATAACTGTATAGCTATAGAATTATTTACTAATAATAGGTAATTGTTAAGAAAACGACAATGCTGTTTTATTTCCTATTAATTTTCATTTCAGACACCTTCAAGGAATAATGATAGCCTTTGAAATCTAGCCAGTTCACTCCATTAGCAAATGTGCTATGAGTACCAGTCAAATATAAACCATTAAGATTTGAATAATGACACTTAAAGTACCACCATGCTCCTTTGTATGTACTAGCACATTGAACATCATCAATATCATTGTCATGATCATGAGTTGAAAATTTCATCTTATCATGAACAGATAAGCTGTCTCCAGCATTCCCACTGTATCCTCCTACTGTTAGTGTATATTTTGTATGTGGATTTCCAACTATAAATGTAGAATAATGAGCAAACACACTAACACCTTCAAAATCTTCCAAGTCAACACGTAGGCTAGCACTGCCTGTTGCTGTGAGTCGGTGTATTTTATCAAGTCCCAGCCAGAACTCTCCATTGAGGTCTCCAAATCCTTTTTGGTAGTCAGCCCACTTGAGATAAAAGTCAACAGAACCATCCATTCTCCTTTGAAATACAGTCCAACCACCACCATTACTCATATCACAATAAACCTGTAAATGCAGACACAATTATGAATTATATACTAATTACTGGTACCTCAAAAGCAGGTAGCATATCTGGTTTGATAGTGTACACTCCACTACAAGCATGTCCCTGATCATACAGTTCCTTACAATCACGTGCAGTACAACCTACTTCGTTTAAAATAGAGTGAAACAATAATTAGTCTGTGTCATACCTGTCTCTGGAGATTGATAGTTAGGGATAGCTGCAAGAAAGAACCAGATAAGAAGGAGATAAAAAGTACATTTCAATATATCTAGAAACAAAAGCACCGAAGAGTGTATTCTTTCCATATTCCATTTATTGGGGCGAGCCTGAGTTGGGGCGAGCCTGAGCTCGCCCCACTAAGGCGAGAAAGCGTTTGTTTGTTTGTACGGGCAGACTGTCTAACATTAATTTATTAAAGTTAAATAGCTTAATCTTCATTGAAAGCGGGTGTGGTCACAATGATAAAATGGCGGCTATAAGCAAGTCTGAGCTTATTTTCAGTGCAGGAAAGTACAAACGGTCAGCTAGATAAGGCTAAACTGCTGTTTGAAACTTCTCTAGCAAGAATAAAAGTTGGGAAAGCAGATATACAGTCTTTTCCTTGGTATAAAGGATTCTGCTAAGGTGAATGCGAGTGAGAAAGCTGCATGTACTGTACTGCTAGCTGCATGTACTGTACTGCTAGCTGCATGCATCATAAGATCTATTCTAGGTGATGTTTCTTCTCTAGGAGCAAGCCTAGGTTAACAAAGCAGATATACAATCTTCAAACATGATTTGTTCAGTGACTGCTTCTAACTATAAACAAGATAACTTTAATTTAAGCAAGATGACTACAAGATACTGAATTTAGACATGTGCAATTGCTTTGCTATACTATATCCCAACTGAGTTTGACCCAAGAAAAACTTTTTATAGGATAACTTTTTTAAACCTTTTACATGTAGCTCATACAGCACATAATCTATAGCTTGCTTAGGCTCGCCCCTTTAATGTTTTGCATTCGTCTAGTTATCATTCCTTCTGTCATTCCGTCTGTCGTTCAAGATCTCATCCATAATACTAGACCTCGTACTAGACTCTCAAGCAAAGCAGATATTGAGACAAATATCTATGGACCAACGTATTAATAGACAAGCCGTGCCTATTAAAGCGAATTAAATAATTTCATTGATTTATTATAATAATTACTAAGTATCACCATCTGAAAAAATAAAATTAAAATCTGGAAAAATAATACAACAAAGAGTTGTAGGAAGAGAATGAGAGAAAGAGAGAGAGGAGGGGATACAGAGAGTAAGGTGTACAAACAGAGTCTTGATGATTCTCCTTCTCTCCGATCAACAGAGAAAAAAACAAAAAACATGAACATATTGAAATGAACTAAAATTACATAAAGAAAAGAAAAAGAGAGAGAAAGAAAGTGAGAGGATAGAATATAGAAAAAAGACGGAATTAATCCTTCTTCCATTTACCCTCCCCTCCTCTCTCCTATTGAATCCTACGAGAAAGAAGAGGGATCAGCCGAAGGGCCATTCTCCATCAAATCAGATTGAAGATAAGAGGTAGTTGCTAGGCCCGTTCTTCTCCTAGTACCACCAAATGTAGGACTATCAGTAGGACCCCCACCTCCACCACCAGGTACAGGAGCTGGAGCTACAGGACCAAACCCACC